CGCTTCGCGGGGGCGCTTGCCTCTGGAGACGAGAGCACCGTTTTCACCCCCCTTCCTCCATTCCAGTCCATCACACACACACATGTTTACAGCTGCATTGTCAGACACTGAAAATAAATGCCCTCCACAAAGACAAGAAGTCCAGCCATGGCAAGTAGGCACTCACCTTTTTCAGAGCAAAGGAAGCAGTCTGACCACCCCGCACCTCTTTGACCGGCATGCGCTTGCGATGGATGGATTTCACTGCAATAGGCAAGAAGTTGCCTAGTGGATCTGGGCCTAGAAGCAAGGTGTCATTCAACTTGATTAGGCCTCTCAGGGTTGTCCCAGACACCACTGTCCCGACACCCTACACCAGGAGGAAAGTAAAAAGTAAAGGAGTTAGTCATGTTAGGACAGCAATAGAATTTCTCTGCTTTTCTCATCCCTGGAAAAGATGACAGAAACAACTTTCTAGAACATTTCTGCTTACTGGTACAGAGTAAGTGTCATCTATCTGGAATTCCGCAGGTTCCTCCTCCCGGTAACTTGTCCTTGGAGATAGGAGATTGAGAAACATCTTCAGCAACTCCAAATTCTCGCCAGTGACATTGGAAATCTGGAAGATTGGGCACATCCTAATTGGGAAAAAAAAAAGATTATTACAAAACAAATTCTTCAGGGCTCTTTACTAACTTATTCTTCATGTTTGGTGCAACATCTCCAGATGATATAACCAATATGCTCGATGCTGGGAGAAAAGCGCCCTGCAACAGGGATTCTCAAACTTTGCAATTCTGTGACCCCCTAAAGTAATAAATGAACTTCGATTACTGTATGAATAAAACTAATGATTTCATTGGATTAGGGTTGGACAAAAAAAATATATACCACTTTTATTCGTTACATTTTAATCTATAATCTGTGGCCCTCCAGAGGTTGCTGAACTGTAAATTCCAGTCTGGCCAAGGGTAATGGATCTGGGCACCATAATTCAGCACTACCAGAAAGGCCACAAGCTGCCTGCTGCAGAAAGAGCATCTTTCAAAGGAAAGTTTTAGCCTCCAAGGAAAGCACATTTATTTTCACCCATCCTTACTACTTCTGGTCAACCTTCCAATTTTTTGCTAGTAGAGGCAGAAGTGGACCAAATGCAAGATATCTCCTCCAACCTCTATCCCAGAACTTTGATAGGTATCCCAACCTGCGTTGTTGCAGCTTATTCCTGCCTCCTTAGCCTCAATTGTGGCCCCAAATAATCTCCTTCCAGCTTTTGCCTTACAGGAAGAACCTACTCACCTAGCATCTCCTCCTACAGCGGGTCCCCCCTTACCAACATAGATCCCACGCTCACCCCCTTCCACAAGCCCAGGCTATGGAAAACTGCTTAGAACGATGCTGAGTTTTTTCCTCTGTTTATCTGGAGAGATCAGATGCTTTCACATTATTGTTTTGTTGCCTTAATGCCCATGAATGGAGGAAAACCAAAAAGTGACATTCTTCACTTCACTTCTCCTCCTCAGCTTCCCTTTAACCAAGGAGGAGGTGCCGAAGAGAAGCTTGCAGTGCAGATGACTTGTGTCTGCTATACATGAGACTACATTTCAACCAACCCAAAACTGGGGCAGTGCTGCAGCCCTGGCTGCCTCATCATAGCTTCACCTTACTCCTGCCCTTGTAATGAGCTGAGAAACCGTCACCACTGCTTCATCCCAGCTGACAATATATTGTTCCCAGCTGACAACACTGTAAAGAGCACAATGGATCATATTCAAATCCAATACCATTCAAATTTGTTCATGATATTTCCAGAAGATGAGGACCCAATTTGAAAACCCCTACCCTTCAAGGGACATTAACTGTGGTACTTTTACTGCTCCTGACACTAGCACTATACCCAAGTTATCTAGCATCACATTCTTGACTCACCTGACCTCATCCTGCTTTTTAATCCTAGGGGTGGCAAGGCAGGGAGCCACAATTTTAAAAGAACCATCCAGTTCCATTATAGGATTGTGAGGGTCTACTTATGTTTTTTTTTAAAAAACTATGAATTTCTCAGGGCCTTCCTAGCAGTCTTTCATCTCTTTTCTAAGTTATCAAATTGGGATTCAGCTTGTTTCCATTAATCACCTTTCAGAGCTGAAATTGGAGGCAGTAACGATAACATCATCTTTGCTCTGGACCAGCACAGGGATCTTCCTGCATCCTGGGGACTTCAAAAGTCGTTGCAAGAGCTTCAGAGTTTCTTGATGAACAAAATGAAAATAATTAGGCCTGTTTGTGGCACTTAATTTTGATGGGGTTAGTTGAGAGCAAGAGAGAGAGAGAGAGAGATGGGGAACAGGATCACCTTCCATTTGTCAAAACAGGCTCTTAGGTGATGGTTTCTTTACAATTTTGCCAACAGAACCATTTGTATTGTTCATGTTCCACAACTGACAACATTGCAAAGAACACAATGGCTCATATTCAGAACTAATCAAGTACCATTTCAAAACTGAAGAGTTCCAGGGTTCTATGGCCGATATGTACACTTTCAATTTATTTGAGCATATTTAAATGCCTAGAACACCAAGATTTCCATAATTAATTTAGAAAAGACAGTCTTAAGTAGAGAGAGAATTTAGAAGGCAACATACAGGAGATTAGTGGGAGACTTTAACACCATAGGATTAATCAAGTTAAAGTTTAAGGACTGTAACAAGAACTTAGGAGGCCCTAAAATGGCTCCTTGTTTCTGCTTGCTTACAGCCTTTATTCTCTATCATATGTATCTTTCTAAAAAATCATCAGTCCTGAAATAAAGCAATTCTTATAGCTAGAATTTAACCTGTGTTGTTACTTTGATCACATATGTTGTCAAATTAATTTCACAATACACAACTAATAATTTAAGAAGATACAAGATTTAATCTTGTCATGTGGCTAGGATCTGGTTTTGCTCTCAATATCGAAATTGTAAAACAAAGACATCAGAAAGCCCACAATATCCATTTTATCATCATAAGAATATAGTTATCCACAAAAGAGATCAATGGATGCAATTTTTGCCCCGGAGCAGGCAGCTTCATTCATCCATCAACACAACTGTGAAGGTGTCAGAATGTTCCCTATTCCAGTCAGTCTCTTCTCTTAGAAATGTCCCACTGCAGTAAATTCCACACCTAAGTGCTTGTGGCACTTAGTGTTCTTTTATGCCAAGACAATAGTTTGTCTTTGGCAGCACAAAGCAATTTCCCCATGAACACTACTTACCACAGTAAGGAATAAATGAAGATGTTCTTGCAAAAGACAGATATCAAGAACAGTCTGTATATGATTATCATCTACAAATTTTGCTAGGAGCCAGTTTTGAAGACCACTAGTGACAGACCTGCCAGTCAATCAATTCTCTGACTGGGCTCACACAAGCTAAACCATTATTCAGTTTATCATGGTTTGCTGAGTAAATCCCAATTGTAATTCACACATCATGCTAAGCATCAAGTAGGGTGTTTATACTACATAAAAAATGCCTGGGTTTTCTACTACAGAGCTGGCTATACATTCCAGAGGATCCTAGGTCATCCTTTACATAAAAGGCCTGGAAAAACCAACACGTGCAGTACCAGAAAAGAGTTTTTGAACAGGGGTCCACACATTTTAAATGGGATCAACAAAAAATCACTCTTTGAAACAACTCATATGCCTTAGGTGTTTTCCTTTGCTTTGCTTTTAGAGGCAAGGTGCAGTCCTTTCATCCAATAACCAGAAACAGAATTTCACAGAGCAGAAGTAAAGAACAACTTACATATTTGTAGCTCACACTGCTGCTAATGGTATGCTGCAGTATAAGATACAGCAATGCCCCATTCCAAAACAGAACACTTGGTCTTGCCACTAGCTACAAGACTGGCTACTCCTACCACAAACTACACTAGAAGCATTCTTGCTGGGGGCCATCAGTGACCATATATTTTTTTTTTAGACAGAGCAGAGAAATAATGATTTCATTTGTTCACAAGACTCACAATTATTTACTGCAATATATAAACAGAACCCTTCAATTCCAAAGTAATATGTCCCCCATAACCAGTTGCTGGAGGACAACAATGAGAAAGGATTATTTACTTCCTATCATTCTTGTGGGTTTCTAGAAAACATTTTAAAGGGAAAAAAAGCTGGGCTAGAAGGATGCTTCAGCCTGATGTTCCTTTATGTTTTCTTACATCAGATCAGCCTCCCCAAACTAGTGTCCTACAGATAATGGGAGCAGTAATCCAACGTATCTGAATAGTAACAAATTAGAAGAGGCTGCATTATTTCAGAATTATCTGCAAACCCAAATCAACTTGCTAACTAAAAATACCTGCTATAGGAAAAACAATACTTGTGGCTAAATTTAACAGTACTTTCATAGATAAGTTAATAAGCATAGATAAGCATCTGCTAGATGCTTACTTTTTTCTGGGCTTGCAAAATGCTATATAGAATTTAGAAGTTTATGTGCTACACACAACTTCAAAGATAAAGCTCCTTATAAACCAGTCAGTAAACAGAATATTTCCCCTATTAAGGCTTAACTTCTATAATTTAAGTTTTAAAACTCTAGAAAGAAAAGAACTATCACAAAAATCAGGAAATAAATTTTGAACAGATCTCTGGAAAGGGATCCCCATAACTCTTCATCTTACTTTATCAAATGGATGAAGAAAAATATAAACCTTTTTTTCTTAAAAGTTTATCTGTGTGAGAGAAGGAAGAAGAAGCCTATACATTGTTTTTGAGCCATTTCATTGTGCCACTATGACTGTTTCGTGAACTATAGATATCACAGGAAAGAAGATGAATACAAATCTTACCATGTAAAGGAAAATTCCTGTATTATGAATTAGTCTCAACAAAAAGAGACAGAGAAGTTCAAAAAATACAAATATAAAGCATTACAGAGCTGACCTTGGAGATAAAGAAGCAATGAGCAAGTTGTTAAGAGGAGACTTGCAGAAAAGATTACACAGTCCCAAGATAGGGAGAAGTATGGGGGAAAAAAGCCTCAAAATAACCCCACCTTGATTTTGTTTAGGATAAAATGAGACAGAGAGAAACCTGGACAGAATAACAAAATTCTGTAATTCAACCTTATGAAAATAAAGAGTATTCCTGGAATTCCTGTTGTGCCTGTTTCTTGATCTGGCCTACCTCAAAGGGCTGACATCAAATCAATAACTGGCAATGACTGGAAATTAATATTTTAACATGATGCCAGTACTTTATTTGAAAGCAATAACCACAACAAGAGATAGCAGAAGATCAGAAAAACAAAAACAGAAAAGAAAGCCAGGGTGGCATAGTGATTAAAGTGTTGGATAGAATAGAGAGACTCAGGTCACTGTTGTTGTTGTTGTTGCTGTTATTATTATTTGTATACAACTCTGGGCAGTTCATCTTTGCCCTCAGCCACAAAAGCTCTTTGGATGACTTCGAGCTTTTCTCAAGGCTGATGTGGGGAAAATAGGAATAGGGTGGACTATATGTGCAGTACTTTGAGCTCTTGAATAAAAAGGTTGGATATAGATCAAACAAATAAAAAAGGAGATAAACACTTCACAGCAAAGATAAACTGTTTGTAGCAATATCTATTTACCTTGAAGGATGTTAGCTGGACACATATCAATCTTGGTCACCACCACAAAGACTGGAACATTAAGTGCCAATGCCAGACCCAGATGCTCCTTGGTCATCCCAACAATTCCAGCATTGCTGCCAACCTGTATAGAGTTTGAAGAAAAACAACTATGACTGTGACAGTGTTAAGCAATGTTATGTGGGTATGCCCAAAAAGATGGGCATGGACAAGAACTTCAATCTATCATGGGAGAAAAAATTAAGACTTGCAGTAAAGTAAGGGTTGATCAAGTTACTATTATTTGCCATATTAGAAATAGTTTCTCAGGGTTAGTAACATCATTTGTGAGGACAATTTGAAGAGCAACATTTAAGAGAAATCCAGAGAGAATCTGTCTTAATGAGTGAATATTCCAACCTGCCAGTTCAAAATGTTAGCTAATTTTTTTTTCCACATTTAAGAACTCCTTTGTAAAGTCTGCCCTCTGCCTCCAAACAATTCCCAAACTTCCCTTTATTCATGAGGATGGAATGTGCATCTCAGAATCAGCACACAATGGCAAAGGGAAACAGTTTGCTTGCTACTGTCATGGAAGAAAGCTCACTGATACAGACATAACTCAAATCAATTCTTATTCAGTTACTATGACAAAAGTTTCTTTTTTCTGTTCCAGTACAAGGAAGAATGTCCAATGAGCAAACAGGAGCCAAAGTTTACATGCTTTGCACACATTATCACTGAAGTCTTTGGGATTACCACACATGGCAAGGAGACATTTCTACTAATTTTACATTTTGTATTTGACTAGCCTAACTGCAAGAGCAGGAACTTGCATACATCCAGTACAATTGAAAAACAAAGTCAGGCTGAAAAAGACCACATAAAATCAAGGCAAGCCACAAAACACAGTTCCATGAGCAGAAGACAGACAACTGAAGTTTCCAACATTCAGTTTGGTGAAAACAGTTTTCATATATAGCTTCTGCCATATTCTTTATTATTATTACTGTTATTACATTTTATCATAAACATTCTCTTCAACTACTTAACAGTGAGTCGAGAACAATGTTGGAACAGGACTGCTTTGCCACAAACCTCTTCCCCTACAACTAGCATTGCTTACCATGAGCATGCAAAAATCAGGGAGATGCCCAGTCATGCCAAAGACTGTAGTCTTCAAGTACTTCTCATGGCCAGCCAGGTCAATGAAGGTTATGACTTTTGTTGATTTCTCACAGATCTTGGTCCACTCCAAACTTCCACCATGGCTGTCAGGCTTGTTCACGACATTGCCTTCGCTGTCAAAGCCCAAGATGTCATTGCCCACACTGCTGGTACGACCCGATTCAATCTCATGCTTGTGGCGAAAAAGCTTTTGCCGAGCAAAACCACGTCCATTGTCCAGCTCACCATGGGTGAGGACACCCAGCAAAGTGCTCTTCCCAGCATCCACATTGCCAACCACTGCTACCCTACAGGAAGGCAAAAGAAAGTGATAAACCTCCTGGACTTCAGCTCAACAACTGGAATCAATTTTCCCCTGTCACTATAGAATGAAAATCTGCAGCATATTCAGAATGTTGTAACTGATATTTGAAGAGCCACTTTATAAAGTTCCTATCTCCAGTTTCTAGATCATATAAAAAATAACAGCTAAGACTAAGAAAAAATGAGGAAAAAATTCACCAGTGCCTCAGTCAGAATATTGAGATCTCACAAGGATGTGCACAATGGCTTAATTAATATCAAAACTGTTTCCTAAACACCAGTGTCTGCATTCAAACCTAAACTCAATACAATACAATGAGAGTGTCCTATGGTTACAATTTCTGTCTTACAACTCTTCAGAGCTACCATAAGTGTTAAAAGCGACCATGTCTTATGCTATAATGTAATATATTGTACACAATATCATATACTGTACAATGAGTTATACTGGAATGTATAGTTCAGTAGCAGTTATTTATTACATTTACATCTTGCCTTTTCTCATCAGGGTATTCCTCTAATTTTATCCCCACAACAGCAAGCCTATGAGGTAAGCTGAGCTGAGCTGAACCAAACAAGTCACCCAGTGACTTTCTTGAACCCCTGACCCAAATCCTACATCTTAAAACCTAACTCTGCTATTGCTGAAAATGGATATGGTGAGGGGAGGGGGAGGAGGGAATTTGAATCAGACCTTGATTCTGGTAATTCAAAAATTTACAAATTTGAAAAAAGAAGATAGCCAACAAATTTCAAGAACATGAATACGTCTATCAAACCTGAAACTAAGTTCAAAGTAGGAAACTGAGCATACAGAAAAGTATATTCCCCCTTGAAAATCAGATACTCCTATATAATCCTTCCCAACCTGTGTCCTCCTGCCAGTTGTGTTAGACTACAACTCTCATTATTGATCAGGCTGACTGGGAGTTATAATGCAACACATCCAGCAGGCTACAGGATAAAGAATGCTATCACAATGTGGGAAACATTACAAGACCTTTCATAGATACTGAGTCACTACCCATCAGTGCCAAATCCTTATCCAAGCTGGACAGCTTTCTTTCTTGACTGTCTGTTACACAATCCATTATATAAGTACATATTCACAGAGCCCCTATACAACTGGCACATGGCATGTTTTGTTCTGTACCTATCTACAAACTTTTTTACACTGACACAACATGATGGTGACCAGAGTGAAAATATCACTCTGGACAGATACTGTAGATGCCCTGCAGATCTTAGGAACATCTCAAAGAAGTGGTCCTGACTCTTCAATCAGCTGTAACTTTTTAAAAGGATGGATCCAGTGGAGTGCTACACTCATGAGGGAAACTGCTCATTGAATGATTTGCACAGATCTAGCATAGCTGACCTTTGCTGACCTTAAAAACTAAATAGGGTCAGACTTATTTAGTACTTTCATGAGAGATCATCACAGAAGCCCAGAACTGTTGTGGGAAGACAATATCAGCCCGAAAAGAAAGCAGTGATGAACCACTTCTATACTGTGACCAAGAAAAAAAACTGCACATGTTCATGAAGTTTATAGGAATCAATCTTAACTTGTAACTTTATCTTTTAATATGTACATCAATCAGTTACGTTTTTTTAAAGATATCCCACTAACCATATACATTTTGGAGGGGAAGGGTAGAAAGAGACTGTATAAGTGGTATTAAATCTATTTGCCAGTAAACTTCAAGTCAGACCTAAGTTGGAGGAAATTCTTAAGTACATTCCAAGTTCCTTCTATATGTCCATACAGCTAATAAGAATGGCATAAGTTTTTCATCTTGATACTCACCAAGTACTATAAAACAAAACTGGAAAAAATATTTCCAGTTCTTAAGCGTCAGGATCAAATTTCAAGAGCTGCTATGTGCCAACTCTGAGTAAAGATAAGAAAAAGGTGAACAACTTAAGACACCAGTATCAACGTTTACTCTGAAAATCCAGATTCATGGAATGTTTCCAAATGCTAGTACGTTATTTCAACTCTCATCATGAACATGTTTCCATGACCTGGTTCACACATAATACTGGTTTGTTGAGTGGCTGAGCTCACCAGAACACTGTACCCAAATCAAGTAAACTACATTATGGTTTAATATGCTGTGACTACCCACAGTCAGTAAAAATAACTTCCCAGAACCTAAATCTATAAGACAGTCTAAGCCAATCCCAGAGCCAACCCTTAAAAAGTCAGTTGAAAATCTATGGGGTAAAGAAAGTAAGTTTCGTCCTTTGTTGGATATGAAAAATACAACTTGCAAAGGTTCTAACTTGATAATAGCTAAAAGTAGGAAACCTGCCATTCAGACACTTCTTAGTAAGCTAAATATATACACACAGTCCCAACCATGAGCTTCTATGCATAGCATGAAGGAGACAAAAAGATAATTAGACCAAATTACTCCCATAGTCAAACCAGAGTTACCAGCTTTCTGCCACTACCTGTTCAAGCTGTAGCAGCAGATGTCATGTTGACTAAGCAAGCCTCCATATCTCTTCTTACCTGACCTCTAGGAAATCGTTGTCACCCACACGCTTCCGCACCAAATAATCACGCACTTTGCCTCCTGCTTCTTGGTGCTCTCGCAAGAGAATTACATCAGCATCAATTTGTTCTGCCATGCTCTTCACTGTGGCATAGGAAGCTTCCATGTCTCCATCACTGAGCCCATAGTCAGTCCCATCTAATGAAGCATTGGAAAGGAAAGAAGAAGAGCTACATGAAGCTTGTTATAACAAAGAGGTACTTTGTACCACGTGGTCTGTTAACAGACTAGTCAAGGGGTTCTGTCGATTTTTTTTTAAAATAGAGATTTAATACTTAAAAGGGCATTGATTAAAACAGATAGGATGGTGAGAGATGAATAAAAACTCCAACTTTATTCCAAATGCTTATAGCATATGTGAACAACCTGGGAGACATGGGGGTATGTGACCTAGGAAGAGGCAGGTGCACATTTCGTTACTGCTGATATACCCTGCCATCCCTTCCTTTCTCATCCACCTTTTCTACCAGCAGAACACCCACCCATACACACGCACACACTGCTGCATCTCCATGCAGCCCTTGGTCCCAAAGTGTGCAACTTTGCTTATCTGATATATCTCCCTGTTCACTGTGACTTGCTTTTCCCAGGATAAAAGGCACAGATTTGCTATTAGCATGAGAGTATTTTTAAAAAAAGGATGAAATAGTCTATACCCCACTTAATGTCCCACAATACCCTTATTAGCTTCACTTATTGAAAACAAAATAAGAACAATTTATTAAATGCTGCTGCTGTTAGTAGAGAAACTGACATTGTTATATTTATTTATATTTCAAATTTGGACACTGCCCATCTCACAAGGAAGGGACTCTTATAAAGGGCAGGACTCAGATTTACAGAGAAGCCCACTTTCTACACTTGTATAAACATGAATATCCATAATGTTTTACTGACCTATTTCATGTGCAAGTGGTGGTTTTTGGTTTTTTTTTTTTATTTTTTTGAGAACTGGACTGATTGGTGCTTCTGGCCTCATGTCATTGTCAAACATCCACTTAATCTTAGAAGACAAACTTGATTTTACCTGTCACATTCCAGTAAAATCAGGGGCAACTGGGGGCCGGGGTGGCAGAAAGCTGCATTTAACTTTTGGTGGGGCCAAGGACCATGACAGACAGTTGGATGATGAAGTGACAATCTCAGTGTCAGTGAGATTTTCTTTCTTTTCCATGAGTTTTTGGGCAGAACATGGATTTTTTTCTTCATTTATTAAAAAAACTGGGAAAGAAAAAGGAGTTTAGAGGCTACATGCAGTCCTAATGTTACAGATTACTCCCTCCAATTGTGCAGGAAACACCTTTTGCATTATTATCATTTAATGTGATTATTTTGAATGCCCTTTAGAAGTAGCACATTATTTCTATATATATACTGTTCATAAAGGACAGGATTCCAGTTTTGTACAGGGAGGAAATATGAACATTGATTGATGTGATTAACTATTGAATGAATTAGTTGGCACTGACTAATAAAATGGTGCTTGTTATGGTATGATTTAATACTGCACAGAGTGAAAACATTTGAAAGCATTAGCTAGTTGTGAAGGTAAGGAAATTATCGTTATATTAGGGAATGAGGTAGATATCATATACAAGCCATTCCTTTCCCCAAACACCATAGATTGAGCTACTCCTGCAAAACCACTACTACTTCTTAAAAGCTCAACATTTGGCATTGAAGAAACCATACAGTACTTACCTGACCCTTGTCCGATAACATAGATGGTCTCCCCACATCCTTCATCCATTCTCTCCCACATCTGTCGGAGTAAGCTATCATACTGTTCGGATGTTGGGCTCACCATTACTAGCTAAATAGAGAGAATGGGCATTTACTTATTAACTACTTCAAGAACAAATTATTTCTCTTAAGATAAATATTGTTTAAACAATTAAAATCCAATGAACAAATACATCAAACAATACAGCTAAAACAAAATACAAGCAATACATCACAATTTTCTGTTAAACAGTTCATAAATCCCTTTGGTGAGCGCCCCTTAAAATCAATGTCCATTTGAAGGGTATTGCTTTCAGAAGGAAGTAAATAAAAAAAAAAAGAAGTGACATAACAAAATACCTGATTATATTACTTGATAGGGAACTGATTTTTAAATGTTTGTATTCTTTTAAAAATATCTGAAATACACTTAATTTTTAAATGCTGTATTTACACTATGAAGAATAAAGTTTAAGTCTGCTGCTTCTGACATGGTATAATATATCCAATATTTTATCACATGTTGCACAGTATGCAACACCATCCCAATGCTTTAACAATAGTTCCTATTTACCTAGAGCTGCAAGGTTCACTACAGCACAGTAACAGAAGCCTGTTCTGTCAAAGTGTCTCATCCTCAGTTTACATACATACAGTAGTGAAAAACTGCTCAGGTTCCATCTATCTCAAGTCCATCACATAACCATGCCTGGCAGGTTAACAAAAATTCAGGTGCTACAGCCAGTTCTTTGGTAAGAACAATGCTCCTTCTGCAACATTAAAACAGGTCGTACCCAACTGTCCATAAATGCATAACTATACCCCAACTTTAAACACAACAGGGAGTGAACATATAAGACAAAATCTAAACATATCAATTACTTGGAAGGGTTAGAGGAAGGAAAGCATAACTGGGTAGAAGGACTGGGATTTATTTTGTTCATACATCTCAAACTTCTTTCAATAGGTGAAACCCTGACATGCACTCAAAAAGATTACTAAGGGCAAAATCTGGATATGTTACACTTGTTCCTACAGTGCACTTAAAACTGTGCCACATGGATTTAAGGAAAGAAGAGTTGGAGGCTGCAATTAAGTCCCACTTTTTTCTTATTTACGGGAAACTTTTTCCTTATTTATGGGAAAACTCATTCAGGAGTACAGTATTAACTTTCTGAATCCAGACACGCGCCAAGTGTGAATGCCACGTACACCGACTCAAGTTCCCCGAAGTACCCTTGATTACACTCTCACAAATATTTCTTTCTTTCACAGACACACATCTCACAATTGGTAACCATGACAAGGACTGAAGAAGCCAACCTTTTATCATCTCCAAACAAATCTACCGACTACAACGCATTAATAAAACGACCCTGAATGAAGTTCCCGAAAAGACGATCAGAACGAGGACCGGCCCCGTGCTGGTAGGAAGGGAGGGAACCAGCCCCAGGAAAGGCCGAGGCGGCCAAAGGAGCGCGACCCGGAGCAGCCACCGCCAACCTCGCCTTCTCCGCCCCCTCCCCCCCACCGCAGCTTTCGTCCCCAACCCGGCCAGGCCTACCTTGCTGGTGAGATCGAGCTCCGGCTCTCCATTGAGCACCTCGCCGTCCTCGCTGCAGTCAGCCTCTGGGACGCCGCGGTGAGGCCCGGAGAAAGCCGCCACTGTCCCACCGTGCGCGACGGGCTCTGGGGCGAACATCGAGGCCGGCACTGGCGAGCCCCCCACCGGAGAGCGACTCCTTTCCGTCGCCATCTTGGCAGCGCCAGCCTCCTTCCCCGGTCTCATTAGTATAAACCCCGCCCACTCGCGCGAAAATTACCTCAAAGAAGCCAGCAGAGCTTCTCTAACAGTCCACCCAAACAGGTGGTTTAGTAATTTAGTCCTTCGCCCACCAATCAGGGAGCAGAGCCGTCAATAATCATTACTGCATTGCTATGACGACCGCGGTAGAGTCGATTAATATGTATGAGCCACGCCTCTTTCGAATATTTTCTTTCTGCTTCTTTTCAGGCTGGAAGAAGAAAAGCAAGCGGGCGGCAGCGACGGCGTTGGTTCGGTCTCATTCGTGAATGTCGCCTAGAAACTCGGGGAAAGCGCATGCTGAGTGCGTCCCCCCTTGGTGGCTGGGACAAACAAAACAATCCCGTGAACATTTAAAGAAGCTCTGGGGGAGACCGAGCCTTTGTTGTCCGAAAGAACAGCTGAGTTCGCACCTGGCGTGCGCGAGCCAATCAGACACGGAAGGCGGAAATATCTCTCTAACAGCTTTATTCGGCAGAGTAAAGGGCACTTGCAAATTGACTTTTAAGGAAAGCGCAGCGCTCCATTCAAATAACTGGGTTTTTAAACTGCTACAATCGGAAAATCATTACATCATACGTTAATGCAATTTGATTGGTATACACAGTTAAAACACTCCTAAAAAGGTGGGTATTAATGCCCAGAGGGTGGGCACAGGTTGTTGCTAAGGGAAATATGAGCTAGTTGGTTTCTTATCTCTCTCGCTTGTGAGCGAGCGAGCGCAGCCAGTTCCTGCCTGGGAGGAGATTTCACTGCGCGCTTTCGCTTTTCGCTCTTCCCAGCTTTAACTGATAAAGCTTGTCAATTTCAAACGGAAAGAATGTTAACAAGGTCCGCAGCTGCAGCCTATTTTTCACTTTGTTCTTAGCTAAGGTCAGTTCTAGGACGTACATAATGTTTCCTTAATCCAAAATCCCCCATTCCATCACCTTCACCAGTCATTGGGCGTAGCTTAGATCGAGCCAGTTAGAGGAGAAGAAGACCGGAAGGGTCGATAAAAAGCAACCGATCTACGCGACAGCCAGTACGCTTGGAAACCCTTCTACAGCACTGTATGGATAAATGGGGATTTCTCCTCCTGTATTTACCAATGCTCGGTCCGGGTCAAAAACTGGGAATGGTGGTATTCTTATCCTATGAGCAGCAACAAATGTGTCTCGTGACTTAAAACCCTGGCAGCGAACATTTACTGTTCGTGTCTTTGTTTTGCAGCCTCATTGTTGATTTGAAAGATGCCTTTGGGACGTATCTGAATCTGGAAGGGAATTTTTTACTCATAGAAGTAAGTAATCCTATAACCTCAAGATCTATTATTAGCAAAAGCACGTGGCAAAGGTTCTCGTGCAAATACAGCCCTAGAGACTACGTTCCATGGGGAGGCTTGTTGTCTATAATCAGCTCCAATCTAATATGTTTGTGTAATGAAGCACGGATCCGTGACTTGAGCAGCGCAGAATCGGATGCTGATGCCATTTGGGGATTTTATTTTATTTTTTATATGTCATATACAAGAACCGATGGTCCTCGGTATTGGGAAGACTGCTGCAGCAGATTTCTCACCACACCAGTTCTCAGGAAGTAAAAGTAGGAAACATCTCATTTAGTAGTTCTATCAGAAGTTCTGAACCTTTTTTCATAGTTTAGGTTTACCATTTTTTTCTTCTGGCAGGATTCTTGTGTTTTAACAGCTATTGTTAAGTGGAGATTGTGGGGTCTCCATCTCTGAAGATTTTTAAGAGGCTTGAACAGCCACTTCTCAAGGAGGGCTAATGGTTTGCTCACACGCAGATAATTCTTGTGGTCCCTTTCACTTTTACAGTTCTATGATTCTATGAATTAAGTTTTTTAAAACTAATTTTATCTACCCTGCAAAATACAGTATAAGCATCCTTGTACTTCACTGTGGTTCAGAATATAATAAATTGTGTAATTCTTTTTCAAGTTCTTTTTACTACTAAAGAAAAATATGTAGAAAAATGTATGACTCATTAATATTTTGCACTCAATCCTTGATTACAGTCAGGATTTTTAGTATTTTCTGAAGCAAAATAAATTGACGTATTTATGAAATGTATTATATACGAGGAGGGAGAGATGGTGGGAAATACAAACTTTCAGCCATGATGAGTTTGAAACTACTTTGAAGTTCCCAGTTTCTTAACAGGAAATGAACAGCAATATCTGGTGAGAATGGCATGGGATATAGGATCTTTTCAGCATGTGGGTAAACATTGGCTATCTTTATTCCCAAAGTAATTTTGAATGTGCATCGATAGAAATCTTTGTCCTAATGTCAAGCAGCAATATGAAGCAGGCAGTAAGATCAAATCACACTTCTGACACACTGGCCCTTTCTTCACTAACAGTTTTACAGGAGCACCATAATGCCCTGTCAACCTCAAAGTTCCCCCTTGATCAAACAATGCTTGTCTCATTTTATTACAACTTCTTAATTTAAACAACATTAGATAGTCATTTTGTATACTGGCATACAAGTAGTTTTTTCCTTAAAATCTGATTCTGCCTGGTCACAGCTTGAGAGAAGAGCTCCATTAATTTATTCTTAAAAAAAGAAGGGGTGAAATTTTGCAGCTGTGTACTTGCTCAGTTCCAAAATGGCATTAGATGAGATGCAGCATCCCTGCTTTTTGTTATTTACTTATTTGTTCAATTTATATCCTACCTTTTTATTCAGGATCTCAAAGTGATATACATGGCACTTCCTCCTCACTGCACAACAACCTTGTGAGGAAGATCAAGCTGAGAGAGAAAGAGACTCTGACCCAAAGTTATGCAGTGAGCTTCTATGGCTGTGGGTGCACGTGAACCTGGGTCTCTCCATAACAGTCCAGTTCCTTAACTGTCACACCACACTGGCTCTTTATGTTGCAGAACACTGCATTGAGGGGTAATGAGCTGGGGTCATTTATAATTATTTATATGTATTTGTCAGTTTCAGCCAGTCCCTTGCCTACTCACTCAATCACTAAGAGTCAAAAGGACTTTGGCTGTTTCAGTCATCCAGATCTATAGATCCTAGCTAGCTGTACTGTATAGTCCTGGCTAGATTTGTTTCCCTCCCTTCTGCAGCCATTTGTGCTCTGATGTCTCCTGGTGAATATCTAATTATGTCTGCCCAAATTTGAATCTGACACCGTCCAGTTAATTAAAAGAAAGTAGAGAAACATACACTTCTAGGATTGGGAGCCACTTTCCCATTTTGCTTTCAAATTATTTTTAACTTGTAAGATGTTCAAATGGTGTATGGGATGGGCAAGCAAACTAATCTAGAGTCCAGATACTGCAGAACTGTGCCACGTCACACCCAACACATTCCCAGTGCAGTGTTCCCATTTGTGGATGACTGATGATACTTAGAAGCGAGATGACACAAAGCCAGAGAGAACCAATCCTGCCTCTATAATGACTGATGCACTCATGAATCTGGACAATACAGTCGGGCAGGGAATTGCAACAGGCCAGAGAGAGACTGATAACAGAAAGTGTACTAGCCGCCCATTCTTATAACGGGAATGTTTTATGGAGAGTAGAGGGTAGCTACAGATATGAATATTGTTTGTGGGAGGGTATTGCTCAATAAAGATAATGGAAATCCAATACATCAGAAGATCAGATTAAAAATAGACTGGTGTGCGCGCGCGCGTACACGCAAAACCTCCTAGGGCGCTCAGCAAGGACTACGTCCCCATTTGATTTTCATATCAGCCATGCTCTGAAGCAAGTCGAGAGAGGAATACCGTAACCAGAACGGTCTTCGTGATACAGCAGGACCCTATCTACAGTCTAATTCACCGGAAAATTCCACACATAACGCAGATTGGTGGCCCGAGTCCCCCAGTAGCCTGCAATAATCAGAATTCAATTTGCACAGACCGCCGACTAGCGCCGAACTGCGCGCGCCCTCCAGCAGGCGGAGGGAAACTGGGCGGCCTCTGACATCAGGCGCCCAGACGCTCGCGACGTAAAGCTGCGGTGAGGCTGAGCGAGCGTCGGCGCGACGGGCCAGGACTCCGTGGAGGGCTGCGCATGCGCCTCCTGCTAGGTGGCTGTTGGTCCAAGCAGGCTGGGGCTGCGAGAGGGTAAGTACCGTGACGGCCGCCTCGGGAGGACTGGGGTGTGCTCGCGAAGGAGGCGTTTTGGTTCCCGCTCCCCTCCGGCGGGGAGCCTGGTTCGGGAGTCTGGAAGAAGGCGGGGAAACCTCTGGGGCTGTTTGAGTAGGGGAGCCCTCTCCCCAGCGTCCCCCTGGCTGGTCGCCCTCCTCGCGGGCAGTGGGTGTCTCGGCTCCGTCCAAGTATGCAGGTATTTAGCCCCGCCGCCGCCGCCGCCTTTTTTCTCCTCTCGAAGGAGGGGCTTACCTGAGCTTTGGTTTGCCCACCCTGAGAAAGAGAGGGGCGCTTCGAAGGGCCTCCTGGCTGCACCACTGCGGTTTGGAGAGGACAAGCCAGAATTGCTGAGATTGTAAACACAGAGTCCCCTCCGCGGCCACGCACGCATGAACCACACGCAGGCTCTGAAGGGCTTTTCTTCTGACAGCGCGTGACGCTGGAAAGTGGCAGCTTGTCACGGTAAAGGGTCCGAAAGGGTTGGAGGACTGAGAGCTTAGCTTTCCCGAGGGCGGATCCTAGAAAAGCGCAGGCCTTGAATCTTCGTTGGGTTGTTAGTTTGCGAGTATTTCTGGCTCGAGAAGCTTGTTTGGGAGCCGTTTAGAAACTGATGGCCCTTGCCCACTGATCAGCAAAATCCTATGCTTAATTGAATATTTTCTTTCTCCATCAGGAATACGAGGCCGGGCAAGGACTCTTTGCTTATCGAAGGTGGAGCAGTTTTCTCCCCCCCCCCATCTTAGGGGAAGTAGCTTCTTCCCTGTTTTTTGATATCTGTGTTTCGGAGGCCTAGTAACTCTTTCCAGAATGCAAAGATGCACTTGATGCTTTCCTGGGGGCCTGGTGTTCTTTATGAACAGTAGTAGCACCCTGGGCTTGTTGAATTTCAGACTCTCTTTTCCTATATTGGGGAGAGAGGCAGGCCGTGGATTTTGGCTTTACAGTCATCATTGACCAAAAGAAATGGAGGAGAAGGAGCGATGTGATCAATTCAATCTGACACTCCTATGTTAAATTCTCTTAAACTATTTTTCAAGGCAAGATCAGAGGAGAAGAGAACAATATACTAAAAGCAATTTCTGCAAGTTAAGGAAGCAGGTAGGAGAATGGAAGAAGAATTATTCAAATTTTGAAGTTGCTTTTGCAGCTATCAAGTAAAGATAACAATTGAAATCAACCATAGGTTTATTATTTGTGCTGAAGTTGTCTATAAAGAAAAGGGCAGTTTGTTCTTTGTTTCTTTTGTACAAAAAGAACCTTCACAAACGTTATCTCCAATCTTCACATCTACACTGCTTTAAAAAAATGAGTTGCATGCCATGGAAAGGTGACAAAACAAAATCTGAATCGCCAGAAATGCCACAGGTGATGCCAGTGCACATTTATCATGAAAAACAACGCAGAGAGCTATGTGCCCTCCATGCTCTTAATAATGTCTTCCAGGACAGCAATGCCTTTACACGAGACACATTACAGGACATTTTCCAGAGGTAGGAAAAATGGTTTTATCATATTATTGTGGAGTGCTTGTTTACATTTCTTTGGATAGATTAGAGCCTTTGAAAGCCTAGATCTTCTAGTGATTTCCTGATGTTTTACTATTAAGCCCTCCTAGCACTCAGTTCAATTTGACCTTTGTGTATTAGTCTACCTGCCTGTCTTAACTTCAGACAAAGAAGTAAAATCCACTTAGGGTTGCATTACACATTTTTAATGTAAATTATGTAGTGAATGAGTCAGTAGTTAGGTACAATTTTCTGTTAAGGGGAACTGATACTAATTCATGGTATAAAATTCAACTCTAGCTATTGTGCGGTGGCCCCTAATCCATTAAGCTTCAACTGGCAAACTTAATCAGCAAGTCTGTGAGCCTTCCTGTCTTTTCCTATCCATTTTTAACTGCAAGAGTTGAGATTGTTTGTGCCAAGTGCCTAATACATCTGTCTTCCTGATTTACTCATGAGTAAAAGATATGAAAAAAATTCAACTGTTCTATTAATATTTCCTTTAAAAAGCAGCATCATGAGTGCCCTATATGACTCATCTAAAAATCAGAGCGCCCAATTTTTTACTTCATGTGATTATTGTGCTTGTGTTCAAAATTTATGATACACCTTTAAATTCTCTACTATAGAACAGTTTTTGTTCTCAGTGATATACTTACATGGTTGGCTTTAACTGCTTAGGTACCTTTTTCCTATACGGTAGCTATGGCACTGCCACAGTTCATCTCTAAAAGTAGCCAGTAATTTTCTTCTATTTTTCCTTGAGCAATGTTGGTGGCTTAAAATAGACTTGGCAATTTTTATACAAATAGAAAACCTAAAAATCATCCTGATGCACATTAAAATATAATACTACTGAAGTCTTTTTTGGTTAGAGGAGTCATTGAGATACTAGTCCAATCCCCTACCTTTTTTAAAGGATTGGAAAGAGAGAAGGACCATCTGCTGTCTCCATCTGCCATTCCTGTCTGTAGGACAAACTGGCACTTCCTATAGGACCTGCTAAAATACTTCTGTACTGCAGGATCTGATTTGCATGCAGAACAGTCCAGGTTCTTGCAATTACTAGGTAATGCTGAGAAGAACTGATATCCACAAGAGCTGCTGCCAATCAATACTGAACTAGATGAACCAATGGTTTGACATTATAAGGCTATTCCCCACGTTTTATATTTGATATCAACTTCTAAAGCAAAAATAGATAATAGGTTTCTACCAAAATATTGTGAGTAATTGCAGACTGGCTTGAGTTAAAAAGCTGTGCTCCTGTTTACAAACTTCATTTTTCTAACACTAGGTACATTTCTTTGCCCATTTACAAGATGTAAATGCATAGAATCATGCTTTATATTTGGAAATATAGCAATTTGTAATAGTCATTAAAATGAAAACTATAATGCAGTTAATTCAATAGCTCCTTGTGTTGTTTATGCAGTGACTTCTTGGTGGTATGAGAGTTATACTATATCTGGGCTTTACAAGAATCATTAAGAAGCAATGCATTAAAAGTTAATTCTTGTGAATGATGAACTTAGTGAATTTTCTTGAGTTGTGATCTTTAATTTATTGTAGCTGAAAACGTAAATTTATTAAATGTTCAGGAACTTTGAGAAGAGTTATTAAAATTAGGATTTTGATTTTAAAAATATAGTTTGCATGCTTACAAATATATGGGAGTATTACACTAATAATTAATTAGTCACCAGAACACTCGTCCTTGCCACATCAAAAATGTATGGTTTTATTTCTTTTAATACATTTTGGTGCCCATTTTCTGTGCTAACTAGCCTTGGATAACAGAAGCTATGCAATTTGTACTTGGAAGAAAGACTATTAGGGAATACTAGATTGTGAGGTTTAAAAAAATCCTGGAATAAGGTAATGGCAAGCCACCTTTGCATTATTGTCAAGAAAACCATGTGATCCATGAAGTCACCAGGAGTCATACTCGACTTACAGAGTTTACTTTTTAACAAACATTTTATTGCTGTAATTTATAAACAAAAAGAAGACATGAATTCAATACAAGAAAAAAATTAAAAGGTGACAGATGAAAAAAAAGTAAACCAAAAAACCCATAATAAAATAAATGTATAGCCAAACCTTGATTAGTTCTCAAACAGCAAATTAAACTCTAACTACATGGAATAATATTGACTGAGGCATCTGGTATTGATAAAAAGCCAGTTCATTTGTAGAGATTGAACACATATCTTCAATCAAGGGCTTCAAATCACATGCAGTAAAGAATTCTTCACATGTCAGTAGATTCTGAACTTTCAATATACATTTAACAACATATTCATTTCTCTTCCCAATATTATATTAACAGCTGTATGAGAATTAAACCAAAATAGTACAACCATAGAACAAACTCAAAACAACAGAGTTTCCTCTATAACATTATACTTTCAGGTTAAAAAGTTGGAATTGAATCCTTTCTTAATAACCCGGGGGCTGGGGGAAGTCCAGTAAATATGAAAAAGATTCTCTTGTTGAATTAATTCAATTAATTAATTAAATCGCCCTCTGGGGGAGATGGGCTGCATATAAATTTAATTAATAAATAAATAAATAAATAGTATATTATAGGATACAAATTTAACATTCTTTAATTCTTAAAACTGTAGCCCAGTGATACAGGATATTCTGGCTCTATCCCAGATTTCCTATATCTGTCTTAGTAATACATTGAAATTAAATGTAGGTTTAGGAAACTCTAAAACTTTTTCCAGTTATATTAATAACTTAGGAGTTTTGGACATTGCTAATACATTGAGTCAAAACTATAGGGTCAAAAGATAGGGCAATTCAGTTTTTTTTTTAAATTTTATATATATATCATATAATAGCAATTTCTCATAATTTAGAAACTTTATTTATTTGATCAGCTATAGTGTAACTGCTACTAAGAACTTCAGAAGCATATAAAAATAGATTTCCCCAATCCATAAAGTAGAACCGTTCCTTTTTAATCCTAGGAAGAAATAAAAAGTGCTATTATACATCCATAACAATTATGAATTTTTAAAAATACCATCTGCCTGTAGAGAGAAGGCTCTTGATATGGTAACTGCTCTGAGGGTAACTGAGTTTCAGATGTAGTCTGAATGACTGATGGATATTGCTAGAGCACAGTATATTCCTGGTCTAACCTACCTGGCTATAGATACTTGATGTTTGCATTTTTCAGCAGGTTTATACAATTAAGCATGAGATTGCTTTTTAGATCATGCTCCCAAAAGTTAGGATTTTCTTTTTTTCTTAAAATGTTTTTTTTTAAAGTGTTCTGTATTAAAGTCTTTGTTACTGTCATGAGATTTATTTAACATTAAGTTTATATTTTTGCTTTAAGATAATTTGGAACCTTATGTTGCAGGTTCTGTAGTGGTTTCTGTGTGTTAGTAGTATCTTTTCAAGAGATACATTGATTGGTAATAGGAAAATGCCAGGCTTACTTATTAATTCATAGGTGCCAAGAAGAACTGGGAGAGAAAAATGCAAAGTTTTGGGTTGCAAGTGCATAAAGAGTATTGGCAGTTTTTAATAGGCAGCTTTCTTTACTCAACCAGGTTATCTAGTACCTCCGTCATATAATTTAGGATAGACGCTACAGTTATACTCTTTGTTTCATGCACTGATACTCTGCCTTTTCTCTGAATGATCAAGATAATGTCTAGAAGGATTTCCCCTAATTTTATGTTTACACAAAAAAACTTTGTGTAACTTGGGCTGAGAGAGTCTGACTGGCTTAAAGAAACCTGGTGAGCTCTTTGGTCAAATGGGAACTTGAACTGGAACTTCCTCAATCCAAGTTCATGTAATGACATGTTGAGAATTGGAGAGAAATCCACTTTCTAACTAGCTGGACATTCCTCCATTATCAGTTAAGAAAATTGTTCACACATGAACCATTAGGAGATGGAGAAAGTCTCTGCCTTAGGAAACAAATTCTAAAGGGGGAAAACAAGCCAATTGTTGAGATTTCTGTAACCTTATCCTGCCTTCTTTCAATAAATCTTGGTAAAGAAAGATTCTTATTGGAAAAAGCATGCTTATTCTGAGGGATGAGGAAGCCAAAAACTTGACAAGTCAACACCCTAATTACTACAGTACAGTGTTTCAGTGTTTATACATTTGTACTATTTGTTTCATAACTAGGTTATCTCCTAATACCATGGTGACACCACACAAGAAAAGTATGCTGGGGAATGGGAACTATGATGTGAATGTCATCATGGCAGCTCTTCAAACCAAAGGTTATGAAGCAGTTTGGTGGGATAAACGCAGGTAAAGTGAAGCAGGGTATAAGTTTACCACCATCAAGTTTCCTAACTGAAAGGATGTAAGAACTTACTTTTTCCCTCCTCTTTCCTGGTTCAGGGATGTTAACGTAATTGCCCTCTCTAATGTCATGGGTTTCATAATGAATCTGCCCTCAAGCTTGTGCTGGGGTCCACTGAAACTTCCTCTTAAACGGCAACATTGGATCTGTGTCCGGGAAGTGGGAGGAGCCTACTATAACCTTGACTCCAAACTCAAGGTTCCTGAATGGATTGGTGGTGAAAGTGAGCTCAGGTAGGTTGTCTTTGTTAGCCTGTGACGTGGGTGCTATTGTCTGCACACACTGAATCTATCATCTGAATAGCATTGTTTGGTTTTAGCCAATGAGTCCCCCCCAACCCCTCCAAATTAATAAAATGTTCCAACAAAGGTAAATAATTGAAATTGTCTCACATTGGATTCTGTTCTTATACCTTCACATTTCAAGAGATTTAGGAATACCATCAGTATTATAGTAAAGACTTTTATGTCATTATTTTCACTGCTCATGGCAAATATAAGTTTTGAACTGAGTTGCTCAGCAGTCTGGAGATAGTATCAGTTGCTGGATTACAGCTGAATTCGGCAAAATTTGTACAACTCGGTAATAAACTATCTAATGCCAAGATCAAGCCACTAGCACCAGTTGAATTTTAGCCACCAAAAGTCAGCACACAGAGAGGTCCTAGCTGCTTTAGGCTTCAGCAGATCCAAACCACAGATTTGCTATTTTTATTTTGACATAGTGTTTAAATGGCTTGATCTCAGAACAAAATGGGAAGTGAATATGGAAGGAAACAGCACAATTGAAAATGTTTTGTTTCAAGTAGTGTGCTGCTGAATCCGGCAAAGATCCAACAGCAGTGCATGAAGAACATGAAAAGCAAAAATACACTTCTCTGGTTATTAGATTGAGGCTTCTCTCAATCGCACATTCACAGTATGTATTTTTACATCTGACATGTAAAACTCAGCAAGCAGAGCAACATAGCTTTTATGCTTGGTTACCTATAGACTCAACAGTGTAAGAATGCTATCTGTGAGGCAAAATGCACACTGCTATATTTGGCAACCTGCCTAAAAAAAGCATACCAAATAACATATTGCAACCCATGAACTCTTAAATTTCACTGTAGCAAAATATTTAAAAACAGCACAAACTAACCCGTTGGCAGCAGTCCTTTTCTTATGTTTAAAATGGTTCTCAATCTCTGAATACAGGCATACCTCAGAAATATTGCAGGTTCAGTTCCAGACCACGGCAATAAAGTGAATGTCCCAATAAAGGAAGTCATATGAATTTTTTGGTTTCCCAGTGCATATAAAAGTTATGTTTACACTATACTGTAGTCTATTAAGCGTGCAGTAGCATTATGTCTAAAAATACAACGTATGTGAAGTCATATGAATTTTTTGGTTTCCCAGTGCATATAAAAGTTATGTTTACACTATACTGTAGTCTATTAAGCGTGCAGTAGCATTATGTCTAAAAATACAACGTATGTACCTTAATTAAAAAAATTCTTAAAATAAGACAACGGTGAAGTTTGCCACATTGACTTTCTTTCACGAAAGATTTCTTTGTACCATGTGATGGTTTGATAAACACAGTATCTGCGAAGCGCAGTAAAGCAAAGCACAATAAAACGAGGTATGCCTGTATATAACTTAGTGTCTCTTCCATTACTGCTTTGTCCCATTAACTAGCTCCAATAAATCCAGCAGAGATGTTATCTGTGCCTCCCATTTCATTGATTACTATGCTTTCTCTGAGTCTCTATGATTGAAGAAAGTAATAAGTTCCAGGTAGGACAGTGGAACTTTCAAATCACCAGACAGGATGTTTTTTTCTGAGTTTAGAACACTTGACATGGTTATGTTGAGCTCAGAATACTTTGCATATTCCTAACATTCAGCTACTTTACAAAAACTCCAAAATATACTCAAACTTTATTTGTGTCTTTTGTTTTTGTTGCTTCCTTTTTATCTCCACAGGAAGTTTTTAAGAAACCAGCTGCAAGGAAAGAACTGTGAACTTCTGCTGGTAGTACCTGAAGAGGTAGAAGTACATCAAAGTTGGAGAGTTGATGCATGACCTGCAAAATATCTTATCTTTGCACTACAGTACTGGTCCTTATCCCTTCCAATTTCTGATGTCCTGTGATGTGGATAATGAGCACTCTTCTCTTCCCAGGAACTTTGGAATTCTTTCCATTATGAGGGTGCAATAAGGCAGTCACAAGGTACTGTCAGGGCCAAACCAGACAGATAATAGAAGCTGGACTTACTAGGGGAAGAAGTAGAAGAAAGCCAGTTTTGCATTCTTTCATTATAATGCATAGTGTGAATTAGGAATGGGGTATTGGAATCCTCTCCTTTAATTTCTGATTCACTTCCTTACCCATCATCCTAAAATACTTTATATTGAATTGCACACTACTGTCTCCAGGAGTCTCTACAGCTAGATGGTTTGTCTCTCCTTCAGGGGAGGATTGAGGCCAAGCATGTTCCCTCCATATCTGACTCCCTTCTCTACCAAACTTATGTTGAAGAAATTTGCAAACGGTATGGGTCTCTCAGGAAATTTTAGATACTCTTAGCAATGGTATGGTGCTTGCAGATTCCCTTTTTAAATAGCAATTGTGCCAAGAGTTAAGGGGCATATTGACAAAACGGGACCATAATTCTAGAACTCCTATTGGAGTTTGGGGCTTTTCTTTGTCCTACTTGATATTTTTGTTGGTCTGAGAATGAAAGAATGAATAATTTGGGGAGATAATTGATGCTTATTTTTTAAAAGCCTCAAATATTTTTGGTTAGGTAGGTCAGGTATAGCCTATTTTTATTTATCTTGTCTGTCCTGTAATTCAGGGAAATAATTCACTGAGCAGGGAATATATCTACAGACTGCTTGAGGATGAAATCATGACATAAAAGGAAATCATAGCCAAGTTTTAGCAAAGTAGGACGCTGTTGAAAGGGCAAATGTTAATTTTACAAGCTATAATGGGGAACAAATCTAAGGATTAGATTTTTGTTGCTCCTATTTCAGCTGGTAATAGCTGAGGTAAAAAGCTTCTAGGGAAGTTTGATGCGGGTAGATGAAGACTATTTAAAACAGGTAGGCTGAGTCACATTCTTCCATTCCGTCTGGCAGGAAAACATAACCTGTTTCCCACTAAATTAATAAAAGAGCTGAAGTCTGGCAATAACCTTATTAGTTTTCCCTTTCACTTCATCTAAGTGTGCCTCATTTATTCTTGCCACGGGTTTACCCTGTTGCATTTTTCATTATTACTTTGTACCAGTGTCATTTACATTAGTATTGGAACATCAAAAATAGGACCCATATTTCCAGCATCACCTAGTAAAGGAAAGATGAAAGTAGCCCTTGTAACTTTCAAGGATGCCTTTTGGTTTCCATTTTGAGTAAGAGCAAGATAGACACCTTTTAATTTGGTATTTGAACTCTCCTTTCACAATCAAATACTTTGGAGATGAGAATGAGATCAAGATGAATCTTGTTTAATGATGCCTGGATAACTTGCAGCCATTATAGTGGGAAACTGAGTTGGCTCTTCTCTGCATGTACTGCAGTCCAAACACAATACTTCTATTTTAATAGAAGCTCTCTTTTCTTCTGGACTATACATTCCAGTGACAAAACCAGCTGACATAATTTGTATACATACATTTTTCATCAGCAGAACATCAGGCCTGAAGTTCTGCTTCTGACTTGAAGCCATTTTTTTCATGAGACTATTCTCTATGCTGACTAAAATAGCACTTTGGAGAGACCCTGTTTGCATGGAAGCCAATGGACCAGTGCATAATATACAAATACCTTTAAAACATAAGGCTATTTCTTTCCTCTCTGTATACTGATGTCATTGTTCTGGCCATAGGGAAAGCAGTGTGATTCAGCAGCTCAGGAACAGGGAACATGTAATCACACGCACTTCTGGACCAGAGTTATGGCATGAGAGGAGAATGATCAGCCCAGTCCAATTGCTTGGGAATGGGAAAGCCCATGGTTGTTTTCTTGCTTGTTTGGTTTTGTTATAGCCTTGTCTTGGGTTTGTTTACAGAGATGTATTTTGTTTAACTAAATATTAAAAATGAGAAAACCTTTCCAAGTGTCCTGACACTTTTGTGTGAAATTGAGCTGCTCTGCATGAATGTAAAAGGGGGGAAATTTTGCACCTCATAAACCCAACTTAGTTTACATGCACACATTCTATCTCAGACTATAACTTAGGACAGATATAACTAACAACCTTTACTTTTCCTCACCAGTATTTAAGATATTCTACCCACTGAAAAGTTCAGCTCAAAAATCATTTTATAACCCTGGAATTGGCCTAATGAAATTATTGCTTTATTAAACATTTATATTCCCCCCCAAGGCCAGCTCAGCTACCTTGATTTTTTAAAAAGCTATTGATTCAAAGCTGAAGACTTAAGACTGTGCTGGTAGCCTTTTAATACCCAGCTTGAAAATATGGTTCAACAGAGAACCTATTGCCAGTGTGGTCAACTTTTTATCATAGAATGCAATTAAGCAGAAAGTGAATAGCCACCACTAGAAAGGCTTCAGAGGTGGCAACTTTGAATTCTATGGTTAAAGCTGAAATAATGAAGAAAACATTCCATGGTTGCACTCAAACTATTTAATACAAAATTGCTGTAGCTGACTTCAGTACTAATAGATGCAGCAGAATTGGTGAAAATGATTATCCAGCTTCCCTCATTATTGAAACAACATGTAACTCAAGTAGAAGTTCACTCGGTGAAATTTAGTATACACCAGATTGTTCCATACACTGTACTTGTAGTATATATATTTCAGTTTTTGCTGTTTCTACTCTGAAATCCATCTTCAGTACACCAGGAGAGAAACACAGGACTATATAGACAAACATTACTAAATTTGCCAGAATCTGGCATGTCCTGAGGTGGTTTTCTGGAGATAAGGATACCAAAATAGAAGCTTCCAAAGTCCTTGTTAATTGCTTTGATTATAAACTGAGAGAGGAAATGAAAAAAAAAATCATGACTGCCTAAGAATTAAAGGAAAGGTCAATGTCGTGAAATTCATATTGGGTTTGCCTCCATCATGAACAGATGTCCAAGAAAAAAAAATACTTCTGCCTAACAAACAAACAATTTCAGTATTTTTTTCCATAATATGGCTCCAGTGGCTTGATTAAATCTTTCCAGGAAGAGAAGGCAGAGCACCTGGCATTCCTCCAGAGAGCCCTGTATTTGGTCCTAATAAAATCTGTAAGAAATGAAAACATGTCAAAAATGGTTGAAATGCCAAACTAACGTTCAAATTTCTGCAACTTGAGAAGAATTTCTATTTCAAATGTCACAAACACAACAATTACCTTGTTATCATTTTTACCCATAAAGAATACAAATCCAGCATTTCTTGTTTTCTGTCTTTCACTATAAAAATATACTTCTCAGTTCACATGATTAGATTTACTGTACATGAAGCAACATTTGTAAGATGCACTGCCCAGTGCACTCTTATGTTTTTGAATTCTGAAATGTGCAAATACCTTGCTATACTAAATCTCAATATTCTGGTTAGGTATGAGACCTGTAAAGTTTTCTTCTGTCAAGAATTCATTTGGTTTTCTCCAAAGGTGGCTGCTATTGTTCTATTTCCTAGTTTACCAGATTGGCTTTATTTTTGTTCTTTAAATTTGTAAATAATCCTGTTCATATTTTCAATGAAGACTGGTGTATAAATCCAAGTAATTATAATACTCCAGCAAGAGAGGGAAATCAACAATCAAAAACAAATTTACCCATACTGGTAAGGGAGCAATGACACTGCTTACAAAAATGACATGATGAAATACATTTTTACTATGTAAGAAAGCAGTGTCAGATAGTCCACTTCAAGGAGTTGATTTTCTGAAAGTACTAACAATGCAATACTGCAGCAGCCATACTAATCACCACAAAATATGCCACTTTCAGCTGAGAATTATGGCCTCCAGTGTAAAGGCTAAAAGATACCCATGACATCCAGCAGTAACTGGAACATCTATTGGAATAACTAGACATCACTGTGATAAAAATACAAACATACATATTTATTAATGTGAATTATTACATAAGCTAATGAGTTACACTGTTGTTAGTATTACTATTATGGGTGAATGTGTTTAAGGGACGGGGAATACATACGTATACATATATACAGTGAATATATGTATTTCCTTTGAGTCAATTTTGACTTGTGGCAAATATATGGACAAGCCCACTCAGTTTTCTTGGCAATTGTTTCAGAAGTGGTGATGAGCTACCAGGCCAAATGGCCGCAGTCTAGTTTTTCTAGTGTCCTAACATGTTGCCAGCAGCTGTTAGGACACCAGAAAACTCGATTGCGACCATTTAGCCTGGAAGCTCATCATTGCTTGATTGACGCCAGCCATGAAAGCCTGCATCAGCATATTTTCAGAAGTGGTTTGCCATTGCCTTTTTCCTAGTGCTGAGAGAGAGCAACTGGCCCATGATTACCTAGCTGCTTTCCGTACCCAAGGTAGAATTAGAACTCAGTCTCCTGCCTTCTGGTCCAGTGTCTTTAACCATTACACTACAACTGACTCTCACGGTAATCAGAGACAGGTATACAGAACTTTCACCAATCTTGTGCTTTCCAAATGTGTTGGACTAATAGTGTGCAGAATTCCAAGCCAGTAGAGTGAATGAAAAACATTAAACTGGGGAAGACTGGTATAGAAACTGAATTACAGTTGAAGAGCTACATTAAATAAAATACAGCTTTCCAAAGAGTTTCTTTGATAGCTCAGAGAATAAGGACATGGGAAGTTCACAGATAAAAGGAACTTATTCTGAGAAAATGATTAGATTAATTAAATTAGAGCTATAGAAGACAGTATTCACCTGCCGTTGTTGTAACTGCTGCTGCTGCTCCATTTGCAGTTTCTCGGTTTCAAAAACAACAGGAAGAACTAGGATCATGAAAGAAGTGGTCCCAATCCATAAAGCTGCCCTGGAGAATCTTGGGGAAGATGGGAGAAAGCAGAAGTATATTCTGATTTTTGCTGTGATGAAAAGCAGCTACTCTACAGTTCTGGTATGAAAGTGACCCATTTCACATGGAAAGATTCATGTAGTCTGAAATGAATTATATTTTGCTGTTCTATTTTTGCTTCCAATTTTTGCTTCCTCCAAATTTCATATCCATCACAATTTGAAAAAACATCTTTTAAAACTACCAATACACCATTCAGACCCATCATAAAGCATACATTAAGAAATATACATTAAATTCACCCAGTCTTTGATTGTACACATAATTAAAACTGATCTTTTGATCCTGTAACAGGATTTAAAAAAATAAATTCTCACTGTTTAAGGAAGAAGTTGTGACCATAGGGTTGTGCTAGCCTGAGAAACTAAGAGTGGTACTCTTTAACACAGATGTACAGCACTTAGGATTTGATTTCCAAAAGGTACTTCAAAATGCATAGTAGCATGAACATAAAACCTGTCTGCAACATTTTAAAACAGCTACATCTTTTTTTCTGGGATTGTACAACTGTCCTCCATAGTTGTTCCAAAATCACAGGAAAAGGGGCAGCTGCTTTAACCCACTGTAAACAGGTGCTACATTTATACTTTGAAGTACTTTTTGAAGATTGAACCCAAAATGCTACACAGCCCTGCTTTTCAAACAAGATATAACACCATTTTTATTTTATTCTGTAATCCAGCCACCAAAGCGTTTAGGATGCCTTTCCAAACAAGAACCAGGGGATAAAATCCACATTCAGTTGAATACAACGACCGATATGAGATAGACGTATGGAGGGAGGGAGGGAAAACAGCTGTTGGTTTAGTAGGTTCATCTTGCAGAAATGTGAATCATATTGTTAGATTTATATTCTGCCTTTTCTTTAGGACTTCAATGTGGCATATATAGAACCCACTCCTACATTGTTCCCTCACAACAACCATTCCTTGAGGTATGCTAGGCTTCTTTAGTCATACTACTGAACTCCAGCAAGACCAGAGAGGCTATAACATATAAAATAATGAGTTTTCTTACTGCCAAAAAATATTTGGATAGAGTTACTTCATTACGTTCAGGAAAAAAAGAAAAGCATTCTCTAACAGAATTTTGGGGGGGAATACCAAGAAATTGGAACCATAATTTATGACACAGTGATATTTGGCTTCTGATTATTTTAACTCTGTATAGCTTTTTTCTACATACATGGATATTTTGTGTTTAGTTTTAATTTCAATTATGTGTTAGAAGAACATAAAGAACGAAGGCTCCAATATATTTAATAATGAACCCTTTATTGACCAGAATGTATTAGTAAATGTGCCTATGCTGTGCAAAATCACATAGCTTCCTATAATTTACGCTGCTCTTTCTAAGTCCATCTCTCCACTCCAACAACTTCAGTGACCCTAGCATCTCAAGTAATAATTTACAATCCTGGCCCTCTGGATCTCTTGCAGCTTTTGATACCATCAACCGTGTATCCTGCACCAGTTTCAGGGGCTGCGCCTCTTAAGCAGACTCAATCCTTATTTGGTTTGCATTTTAGTTATTACATAATTGCTACTGTGTAATTGCTACATTAGATACTGCAAGATGAATTAAAGCTTTATTCGTAGCTTCATCTGAACTGCCTTAAGCGGAACAGATTCTGACCACATACTGAAGCAATGTCTCTCCAGCAGACTGATATATATGAAACAGACACCAGTTCTGTATTCCTTTTGCAATAGACATATAATACTGAAATAGTGGTAGGTTATCAAATCACCCAGAAAATACATCCCACATAATCTCAGCATCTTTGGACTATGTGCCTACTCTACTTTTCCATTTCCTTATCTCACCTGTACATTTTCTGAGCTACAGAAAGGGATACATCGAAGGTAGCTCCAGCTGCCGATCGAAGGCTCTCTGGAAACATCTCTGTCAGACCCCAAAGTCTCTCTGCCAGGGTCTCATCCAGCTGCAACAAGGCGAGAAATACGAAAGCTAGGAGCCTGCCTGACCCTCCAGTCTGCTCTCCCACACTGCAGTTGAAGACGCGTGCACTTCAACTGTTGGGACTACGACTATTCATGCACCCCGCCTGGAGGCCCTCCTCCAAAGCACCGAGATCGCACAGCGCCCTCACCGACGCGCTCGAAGTAACCGCGTGGGCCTGCAGCCCGACCCGCTCTGCTCCGCCCCCAGGAGAGGTCATGTCTTGCATGTCTTGGCACAGCCCACCAAGGCACCGTACGGAATTCCGCGGCAACGGCCTGCTTACCTCATCTTCCTCCTCCTCTGTATCCTCTTCCAGCTCCTCAGTTTTACCGGTGCCTCCCTTGGACAGCAGCAGGTCTTCAGGAGACAGTGGCGTCGAGTCAGCCATGACTGCAACTGAGGGAATAAAGAGTGCGGAAACAGGGGCCCGGCAGCGGCTAGACCGTTACCGGAAGTGAAGACTTTGAGTCCGCAGCCTCGCGGCCCTACTGCGGTTGCACAGCGACGCTTAGCGCACCGGAAGAGGTGGCGGCGGCATAAAGGCCTAGCCCTAAAAAAGAGACGGATTCACCCCCGGACAGATATGAGGAAGTGCATGTGTTGATTTATAAATAGGATCTGCAATATTAATGCCTCTCGCTTTCCTCTCTGGGACTCGACCCAGTCACCTTTTCTTCCAGGATAACGATATTAGGCGTTCAGGGTTTTTCACCCATGTTTTGCGATTCTCAGCTGAAATTCAATGTTCTGAGCCTCTTGTGCAGATTCAGTCCTCATTTGGTTTGCGTTTTAATTATTACACAATTGCTATTACGGGATATGATTTGCTACATTAGAACAACATGTTAGAATTACATTAACTTTTTTTTTTTTCTTCCGAGGAGATCGGGGAGAGCATAAAGCGTTAACCAATCTCGCTAAAACCTGCAAGGTAGGCAGTGACTAAACCAGAAAATCCTATGGGCTGCAGGCATTTATTATGAAAAAGATCAAATCCTAAAGCTTTATTTCTCTATAAAAATAGAAATATTCTAAAAATAAGGGAAAAAAACCTTTAATGATTGAGTTCATATATGCTAAGTCATAATGTGGTTTGTGTGATTTTGGCTTAGCGTATTGCGTGAATCTGGCTTTTCAAATCATGATTTATGACAATATGTTCCATAAAGTCAGCCAATTGTACATTATGCATTAAATCATGGTTATATAAGACATAGCTTAGCGCCATCCATCCATCCATCCATGCATGCATGCATGCATGCATGCATGCATGCATGCATGCATGCATGCATGCATGCATGCATGCATGCATGCATGCATGCATGCATGCATGCATGCATGCATGCATGCATGCATGCATGCATGCATGCATGCATGCATGCATGCATGCATGCATGCATGCATGCATGCATGCATGCATGCATCCCAGGCAATATAATAAATGCTAATGTGTAGCTTTCTATAGAGTTAATAATTTCCTGTTGAATTAATCTTGAAAATGGCCACTTTTCCTGTACTTAATCTGTACTAAAAGAAAAACACACACAGGAGTACAATTAATAAAATTAATGAAAAAAGTAAACAGGGAACCAATATTTATTTTAAAATATAAAAATAGACTTAAAAAGTGATTCAATATTTTTCTTTAAAATGGTCTGAGTGTATCTGCAAATTACACAAAAGTAAATACCTTAAAAAGAAAAAAAATGCCCCCCATCCCCCCTCAGATAACAGCTAAAGGTGTAATATATAGAATTCCACAAGAAGTGATTATTATGAACTAAGGAACAGAAATAATAAGAATTGGCTGTTCAATGTGAAGTTCATAGAAATAAGGCTGTTCAGCACAGGCTTGGGTATGATATAAAAAAGCAGTGATTTTTGCACTTTACAGGTAAATTCTTGTAGTATGTAAGGTAACTAAAGTCTATTGTAGAATTGTAGAATAAATAGGCCATTTTTGAGATGAATAAACGTATTATGTCATCAAAGTTCTTGTCTGTGAACAAGTGACAGTACTCTATAAAAGCAGATGCCTCAACAATTTTGTTAGCTTTTAAAGTTCTTCAAGATTTGTCCTTTTTCTGATGCCATAGATAAGCAAGATTATCTCACTGGTGACTGTACTATATAATTTTAGGAAAAGATGCAGAGGCATTTGTGATACCTCCTATAATAACAGATCCTTCACAAGAACTACATAAAAAGATGTGGTGCACCATTTATTTTGTCTGCCATATACCAGCTCATTGGCATTAACTACAATCCAGAGGTATTTTGCACCCCAAACATTAGATTCCTGCCAAGGAATACATGACTAATGAACCTAAAGTAGATTAAGGAGAGATAATGGCATATTTTAGACACGTGAATCCAGACATGATAAGCCAGAACAATGAGCATGTGTTCAAGTGCATTCCCTTTGCAGGCAGCCAATTCCTCTATTTGTGTGAAGAAAAAGCAGGCTAGATTGCTTAGTTCACACTTAACACCTGTTAAGTGTGAACTAAGAACTTCCAGTTAAGTCAGGATTTATAATATAAAGCTGACTTCCATTCCTGACTTGTTTAGATGCAATTTACTATGTTTTCAGTCTGATGAATTATGGGTAAATTCAGCTTTCTAGCTTGTTTTACAATTCACATAAAGTGAAGGAAGTGAGTACATGCCACTTGTACACATGCCAGAATATGTATTCTGGCTTAATAAACTGACATTTCATTATCAGTAAGTGTCCTGAGATATACTGCAGGGAGTGTTCATATCCTCTCTTCTGACACCTTCCAGAATGGTTGCTAACTTCTTGGGAAGATAACATACATGTTATCTATACATCACCAGTTATTAGTAACATAATATATATTAAGAGCACTTGGATAGAAGTTTCACAAAGAAGAGGAGAAAGTAGATAACAGCTTCCTGACAGCACTGGAACCTACTAATATTTCTTACTTGGGACCCTGGTTATCAAGTGTCCAGGATAGCAAAGTCTTCCAAGGCAGATGTGACTTCACCAGCAGTGAGTATCACTGCTTTAAATCATACTTGTCTGTTCTTTCCTCCCCTGTCCTAGTGATTGCCAATTTATAGTTCACTTTCTCCTTCGGCTGTAATTTTTCAGTTCTAATTCCTTCTCCATGAGGTGGGATTCAGCAGTTGTCTCAGAGAGCTGAAAATGAAAGGCATAAATGGTAATGAAAATACATTCATTTCCTCCTGTTATACTAATGCTGCCAGCACACCCAGAAGTATTATTGTTTTGGTTCTATTCTAAAGCAGTGGGATTTAGTCAGATGGGCTATGTTTAAATATGTATTTGGGGTAAAAGTAATACTTTAAAAATAAATCATTAGCTGCAGATAATCTATAATATATATGGATTAATGAATGGCAGGTTTTGTCCACTGGGAATTTTCCTTATGGACTATCGTGTGTTGTGGCCAAAATCTGGCTCACCTAAAGCAATCAAATCAATCTGAAGATACAACACAAATTTATTAAGCATGAAAACAACAAACAGCGTACACCAGGCTCCCAGCAAAGCATTGGCAGCTTGCTGAGCAGCCCTGTGCAAAAGCAGAACCACAGTTTATATACCTTTGGCCCACTACCTTTTACCACAATGCTTGGAACTGACATGTCTGACACCCATGCAGCCTATTAGGGAGGAGTGGGATGCAATAGCACAACAAACCTTCAAATCATGTTAGTTAATAATAGGAAGAAATCCAAATCTGAAAATAGCAAAGCAGTCTTTTTTGTTGGAAAACATGCATGGAGTGGAGTGTATTTTTTTATTTATTTATGGATTTATAAATTGCTTCAGCCAACTGACTTTTAACTCTGTAAACAAAACCAAATGATTTTTTGCTATCTGAGGGGCTGCAGCATAAATATTAGTCAAAAAATGTTAAGTGGCGATATCTTCAGCTGACAGGCTTCTTAATATCTTCGTATGGGCCAGCAGCACTACAGAACCTCCTTAATGTATAAAACAAGGTAACAAACTCCCTACAAAATATGCTAATTGTTAAAATTATTTATAAGTAGTTGTTAAAATAGATTGTTAGGTATTATTTGGGAAAGCGTGGAATAGGGAATTGGCCCATCCAATAATCCACACCAATGAAAAGCTACTTAGCATCTCTAAATTATATTTATATAGACTTAAAATTACAATGAATTCAATAACAATAATTATTCTGTGTATATTGGACACACATGCATCTTTCAGGAAGAAATGAAGGGATACAGCTAATTGCTGGAGCTCTGGTTGTCACAATACAACCATGGTTATACAAAGTGGTCATGCTGTAATAACTGACATTTGGCCAGAAGTCATCTCACATATTAACTTGGTTTTGGTTTTTGTAGCAAGCTAATTCACCACTGAACACAATTCGGCTAACCTTTATATTTCTGCAGACATAATGTAAAGAAACCCAAACATAATTTTTAAGCAGGAGAATATTAGAATGATGATCATGTTAAAGCTCTCATATTTTATGGAGTTCAACAAGAAATAATAATAGGATTTGGGGTAGATTCCTTTTTTCATTCAAACATGTATGTTCTGTTGTTTCCCTTCAAAATAGCATAACTCAAAGCAGCTTACAAAATGTAAAAACAAATACTAAAAGCGATAATTTGTGTCCTAATGATTACCAGACAAAAACAAATCACTTGTTAACACTAACACTAACAATACAGTAATTAAAATTACTAAATTATGCAATAACACAATTATTGTTTTAAGAAAATGTTTACTAGAGGAACATAAACCTAAGCTTTAAGATAAAGAGGACAAAGAAATTCCACATGTTCATGTCTTGGCATCAGTCTCAAAGATGATGGCAATCAAGAGAAGGATGACAGCAGATCTTAAAGAATGGCAGATCCACAAAGGAAAAGAAAGGTTTTCAAGTATCTTGGTAACCTTGTCCCAAGCAATTTTAAACATTAAACAGAATCTGGACTCTTGCAAGAATGAATTCTTAAAATGGCCTCCAACTTAGTGTTGCATTTTCTACAATACTGCATTAGGAAGTCATATTAGTGTAAATCCTAGGATTTTTTTTAATCAAGAGAATTTTCAGAGTTGTCTTTTTAATTTACCAAAAAAAACCCAATAGAGGATCTAATGGCACTTAAAATGAATATGTATAGCATATAACTGTAAACTAGAATCTACTTCATTAGAGAAATGTTACTCTAAATTGGCATATACTCTGTGGTGTGTGTACGTAAAAAGTGGGAGGGATAGTAAGCAATGAGGTTCAAGGGAAGTGAAATGATGTAAGCTCAGAGGTAAAATGTTAAGTGTAATTCATAAAGCAATAATATAAACTGATAATATAATATCCTGGCATTAGAAAACTAAATAACTCCTGAAGTGTGATAAAAAGAGAGATGACACATTGACCTATTCTCACC